ACTTTAGCTTTTGTTTAGAGCTTGAACGCGAATAAAGAGATCTAATAAGGCTCATTTCGTTTTAATCTTGAAACCCATTTCAATCTCACGCGGTCACTTGAAAGCGTGTGGTGTTAATTGAAAAAAGGTCATGCTCCAGTCAGTGAAATATTTACATAGTCGCTGTGCCCATGATTGATTTCGCACGCTTTGGCAGGATATCGTTTGGAGTTTAAGGTACATATACACTGAGAAAGTATCTTTACTTAATTAACAAACTCACCAATTTGACCACTGCTCCTTGGCATACTGCTGGTATCTCAATTTCCCTTGGTTTGCGTGGAAAGCGAAAACAACCTCCATTGGAGGTTGCTTGCTTTTTAGAACGGCTAGACGGTCTTCGATGCTCGCTGTTGGCGTCTTACGTTGATATGATGCACTTATGGAAACATTTATAACCATTAAAAGAAGAAGTAGCCAGCAAGAGGACATTGCAACTCTTCTATTTCTCCGTGACAAGGACCGCCAGAAAATGTGACTTGTGTTGATGAACGGAGACGATAAACCGGAAATAAATTGTTATCACGAGACTCGCTAGCCTACTTGTAGCCCTACCCTCCTCCGCAAGGTAAAGTGGAAGCAAGAGAACCTCGACTCCGTTTCACCTTGGCGGGGGGAGGGTACGGCTACACGTTCGCTGGAGACTTGGACGCGGCTAGTCATAGGTAACCCACTCAACCCTGATCCCTGAGGTGTACGTTCACTTGCAGCATACAAAATGCACCCAAATTTCGGTGATAACACTTTCATCAAATCATTTTACAATTCATACGCCTTGCATCCAACAACTTTACTTTGATAAGCTTTCAAATCATGTCTATTTCCATTAGATAATTTGTTACAAAATGTTCTGTAAGATCCTTGTGGACTAATCTCCCCGTAACACACCACGACAAACTAACAAATTATGTTGAATTTCCTCTTGGACTGGGAATCAAAATACAAGCATGTTAGCGAGTGTACATGACTTCATTTCTTTAATTATGATAAAATTGATAAAAATTGTAACGATAATATTAGTGATAATAATAATGATGATGATGAGAAAGATGTTATTGATAACAATTATCGTAGTATGTCTTCCAGTTCTATTCCACAGGTTCCTCTAGGTAAATGTTTTGCCTGGAAATTTACCAAAATTTCGTTAATTTATTTCATCCAAGAAAGCTTATTATACATCTTCAACTTCCCTACTTTCCTCGACTATTTAAAAAAGACGGCTAACGCTCAACAACGTTTTACGTCTTCAACAATCTTCCTCACATCTTTCCAGCTTAGATTCAGCAAGTCACTTGCGCTAATCAAACTTCTGCTAAAGTCCTCAATCTCTGTCCTGCACACCACACAGCGGTGCGATGACTTCTGAAGAAACGCAAGCTTCAACGACTGCCAAGCGCACCAACTGCACACAACCACGTGTTCGCAAGGCAAAGTTTGGATGCACGCTTCAGCTTCTAAACACACTGCACAGCGCTTTTCCACCCAACAACTCGCACTGTCCTTTGTGTAGATTTCCTCCTCACCACGAGGACTTCCTCCGTATAGCTCTAAAAAGCGATCAATGATCATTGGAATCTTTTCAACCTCTATGGAGTAAAGCTCTTTGAGAAGATGTCGTTGTTGTCTTGTCCCACGATCTCTTTGTGCACGTTTAAATCCGCACCAAAATAAAACCAACGAGGAAAAACAAAGAATGTATACCGCAATCATAGAAATTATCGAAAGTCCACACAATTTGAAAATTAAGATACTGGAAATGTGGTTGAAACCTAAAAGACCTGAAAATGCGGAGAAAACTTTAACAAAACTCCAAAATCGAAAGAAGGACCCGGAAGGTGAATCCATATATTTTTTTTCCCTTGGCTCTTGTCAGGAATCGATTTCAAAACTTAAACTCCAATTTTCTTTTTATGGCAAGATCCTTTGACTATCCAGCTGTTAATATTAATAGGGAGATTTAGCTTTGCACGAGACCCGAACCTGTTTTTCCACCAGTCAGCCATGAAAAGAAAATCTATACCACCTGTAGTCTGTGTCTTACCTTTGGTAGAATGAGAAGCACAGGTCGAACTAACTTCAAACAGAGGCTTCGCAATACAATTTTATTTCACTCCTTTTTTTTATTTGGGATGAGTAACGAGAATTACGTAGCATATCACAAGGTCTTCATTTTATTAGCGCCTCATGATAGATTTGAGACGAGTCGGGGAGAGGTTTGCCGGGAGTCTGGCACCAATAGTACCCATTAGTCAGTGCTAAACGTAGATCCTTTGCAGTCCTCTCGCTCGCCTGCGTTGTTAGCACGCTTGAAAGATTAACAATGAGGGTCTGCACTCAGACTAAGATTTACGTCAATTTTTCACAATCCCTGTAGATCGATTCGTGCGCAGTCGTGCGCGACTCTGTTTGTCTTTATTTTGGTCGAGAAGCATGAATGTTAATAAGAGTGATACAACGTGATAAATTGTACCGAGTTGTGTGTAATTGTAAACAAGTACGGCTTAGAGGTAAAAACGTGACTGGTGAGGAAGAGCCACTTCATGATGATGTCATCCATGACTTCTGATGAGGTTATGCTGAGAAGCATTCATCAGATAAGGGACCATTCATTAATTATCGTCTGGGAAGGGGGGGAGGGGAAAGAATTGTGAGGGAGATCATATGGTTTTAAGGGGGAAAGGTAATGGAGGGAGGGAGGGTAAGTCGACGCCAACAGAGCATAAAGAGCGAATTGATTGTCAATTAACTCTCAGTAAAGGGAGATCATAATAATAGTATTTTATCATGACACAACAAAAATCCTCCACACCCCTCCCCCTTCCCAGATGATAAAACAATGACCGAACCTTTATCTGAGGAAACTAATGCTTCTCAGCATAATCTTCGTCCCTAAGAAGTTCTATTTTTGTTAACACTCACGTTTTGTGCCCTTATATATAAAAGGTACTAAGTTATATTGTGCAACCTAAATTTATATTTCAAGGCAGACATTTTTCTGTTTACGGGTTTGTGAAATATGTTTGAAATGCGTTTCCAAACTCTGTCAACTGATTTCCTATCCTAAATGAAGCGTCTGTATTCGAAGTGTTTTATATTTCTGTGATACACAATACGCATTTATGCACCAGCCTGCATGGAAGACAGCTTAAAACAACTGGTTGACTTTGACCTTCGTAATTGAAGTTGCTCTTGCGTGGGCGAGTGACGTCACATGATCATGAATTTTTTTTTTCTATAAATGCGGCAGCAGGAAGCCCGGCTTTTAGTACTATCTCAGGTCCGTTATCATGGCTGCCTCGTCTTATCAGCAAAGCTCAATTACAGTGCAACTGGAAGGTGGTAAAACGTTCATCTGTAAGGACGTACTTCCACAACCCGGAGGTGTCATCTTGGATCTGGGCTGTGGTACTGGTGAGCTGTCTGCGTTCCTTGCTGAGCTTGTGGAGCCACATGGATATGTTATTGCTGTTGATCCTGACACCAATCGACTGAATTTGGCCAAGGAAACTCATCGTCATGTAAAGAACCTCTTCTTTGTGGAAGGGAACTCTAATGAGTTTCAAGGCATGGGATCTAAAAAGTATGATCTGATTTTCTCCAACTTTGTGTTTCATTGGATACCGGACAAGGACAAGGCGTTCAGGAATATGTTTGACAGTTTGAAAGCCGGCGGGAAAATTGCCATACATTACATAGACGCCTTACTCCCCTTTATAACTACTTCATTTGAAGTGCTGAACCCGGAGACAGCGGAAAAATTCAACAAAATGTTTTGCTTCGATACCAGAGATAATATAGATTGCATGTGCCGCGCAGCAGGATTTGATGTCGTGAGCAGCTATTACGCCTATGATAAAACGGTTGTTTATCCCAGTGTGGAAAACCTTCTACAGTGGCTAGTAGGTACTTCACATGGAGTTTTCGATCTACAGCTTGTCACCCAAGAAAGAATTCAACAACTGTTCGAAAAGTTCGGAAACCCACCGTTCGACTTTACTGCCGATAGCAGGGTGAGTAGACTTCTAGCTGTGAAGCCGAAATCCCAAGCACAATGAAAACAAGCAGCCCAAGCCCACGCAGTCAATCGTTTGCTAGAAAGTGCTGTTCAAGCTGGCCTCTTAAGAACTCGATTTGGTTCTTTGTACAGTGGTCCGACTTGAGATGGAAGTTATAATTTTCTAATTATCATATTACTTTAATTTTAATTGTACACCCCTGGAATGAAAATATGTCAGTTGATCTCCCTAATCGAGTCCTATTCTATTGTTGACCAAAATACACCGCGCAAATTATATTTGGGCGGCTCAATTTAACAAGTAGGTATATTCTAGGATAATTTTAAAAGTTACTACCATCTTAACTAACCAGCAATACAGGATTATATTCTAGTCGGAATACAATGAAGATTTAATTCTGCGTTGTGCTAACCCAGCCAGTTTTGTACGCAGCACATCAATTAGCTGAAAGAGCATGAAAATTTGTGCTGTGTTTACCAAATTAGAGAAGGGGGGGGG